AGTATATGTGCATGGTAGGAGAGACTCAGGTTACTCAGTTTTGCTCCAGTGACAGTTCAGACTTTACTTGAGCACCCTCTTTTCTGCTTTCCTGGCTGTCTTTAGTATCTCTACCAACATCACATTTCAAATGATTTGATTTTTGTCCCTGTCTTTCTTCACTATCTTCCTTTCACATAGTATGCAGAGTTTTGACTTCACATTCAGGTCACATCATTTGCTTACTCCAAGCAAGCTCTTCCTTTATTTAATTTTATTTCACAAAGCAAAGGAACATGTTTTGAAAAACATATACACAACATACGCGTAGAACTTTGGGTCAAATATAGTTTTTCTTCCTCAGCTTTCCTTACTCAAAGAAAGATATGAAATTGGGACATGGCTTTCCAGCCTACAGTTGGCAGAGTAAGTATGGCAACGTTAGTTTAACCAAGAAGTTAGAGGGTGCGTATTAGAGATGGGCATGAACCTTGGTTCGATATGGTAATGTTAGTTTAACCAAGAGGTTAGAGGGTGTGTATTAGAGATGGGCATGAACCTTGGTTCGGGGGTTCGAGCTGCTTCATCAGCATTGCACCACAGGGGCTGCATGTTCGTTCCCCCCACTGGCTCCCCCACTCACCAGCCGGCATGCACTGCTTTCTCCTGCTCTTTGCGGAATTGTCCAGCTGCAGCAGAAGCACGGAATTCCCTTCTCTTCCTCCTCCAGCAGCACTCAAAGGCAGTGCAGTGGGAATCCCTGTCCCACGTCCTAATCTGAGTGGGCAGCTGCTGGAGGTGGAGAAGGGAAGTCTATGCGACAGCTGTGACTGGACGATCAGACAATGAGAAGGAGAAAAGCTGTTTGCCATGGCTGGTGAGTGGGGAAGCCAGCAGGGATGGGCTATGCTCCGGCTGTGACTGGACGATCACACAATGAGAAGGAGAAAAGCTGTCTGCCATGGCTGGCAAGTGGGGAAGCCAGCAGGGATGGGGTACAGGAACGTACTGCACCCATGGCGCCATGATGATGAAACAGCACAAACCACCAATCCCAGGTTTGTGCCGATTGTTAGTGTGTATAAAATGTTGACCAATCCCAGTGAAACAGACTGAATCCAAAAAACTTAACAGCTTTAGCTTCCAAGTAAAAACTCTAATAAAACAATAAAAGAAAGCTAAACCTGTTAAGTTTTGGGGGCCAATTCAGTCTGTTTGACTTTGATTGACCAACTTTTATTGCACTCAAAGAAAGTAGAAAGGTTTTCATCTAGTATGTTTCTCCATTGTATGTGTTGTACCCACTCACACCTTTGCTTCCCCATTTCATTAAGTCCAAAATAGCACTTCAAAATATGTTGGCACAGAGGGACTAAAGCCACATCCAAACAGTTCTCACTTCTGTCTTTTCCCAGTAACCATAGTACAGGTCATATGCTCATCTTCTGGAATCCTCTATCACTGGGTAAGTCTATATGAGGGAAATTTCTGATTGGATTTGCGCGTAGCATATGTATATTTAAACTCCTGTTTCAAAAAGCCAGGGAATTCAATTATTTAAAAAACCACTAGTTTATGAATGTGGGATATTGTGCTTCTCTACCCATGATTCAAAGTGCTAGGAAGTGGACCAATATTGCTGAAAAATATTGTGCTTGATCACCACTACCATTCACAGAGTGACACCACACAAGGGAAAATCCGAGAAGCTGACTCCTTTTTTCATCAGTTAACCACTTCTCACCCAAACACAAAGCAACTGTCAGGGCTGTTTTTCAACAAGTGTGAATGACAGTGAGGAGAATCTTGTTGACCATCTTGACTGCTGTCATTGGTGTTGCCAGCATTCAGGTTGCCCTTTGCTATGTAAAGCTTGGCATCCCTTTTCTTGCTGGCTATGTGGACACAATATTTTGCAGCAATATTTGCACATTTCCTGGCTTTTCGAATCATGAATACAGAAGCACAATATCTCACATACATAAACCAGAGGTTTTTTTTTAAAATAATTGAATTATATCTGTTTTATGCAATATTGTTGCAGTGTAAGGCTTTCAGAAATGTACTTTGTAAAAGACATATGAAAGTTACCTTCAGAAACAAATGGCTCCTTAGAAGATAATTTGCAGGCAAGAGTGTGAATTTAGCAGCAGCTTTTCTACAAACGTATGGTGCACCACAGGAGAAAGTTGGCCCCCTTCTGGCTGTTCTCTGCTCCCAAGATGGACAGCCACCATGAATACACAAGCCCCAAAACATGCTTATACATTTACACTTACAAAAATGCATTTAAACACACAGGCAGAATGTTCATGTATCTCTATTTTATTATTTCACATAAGTTGCAAAACTGAGCCACGGAGGAAGCTCTACTCTTTCGAGCTGAAGTGGTTATCACTGTCGCTATGCTCGGCAGGAGCTCTAAGGCAGCGGGAGGGGTTGGGGCCCTTCAACAAAAGCACATTGTGGCCACGGCCTGCCTGATGCTGGCCAGGAGGACACCTCACTGCTCTGTAGCGGCAATGATGCTGTGAAGAAGGGAGTTAAGAAGGTAGCCAGGAGCGGGAATGGCCTGAAAGAACAGAACGCAATGGGAAAATACAAATCTATCAGAGGAAAGAGTAGAAACTGATCCACTAATGCTAATTTTTGCAAATCCAGACTTGCTTCACCTCACCTGTTTCCCTCCCATTAAGTACAGAAACCTGACCTGTGTGTTGCTGCCTTGTATCCACTGTTCAAGATAAGTCCTTTCCCCATCCTTAAAACAGATGCAGAATTCAGTCTTGTTACCCAGGCTGTGGATCTCTTGTATGTCCAAAACATGCCTGCATGTATGGGATTAGAAACTGAAATTTGCCTTTTGGCAATTCATTTGGCTTTTAGCAAGTTCTAAATGTTCACATGTGGCACGTAAACCTGGGAATGCACTGGGATTGCTTGGGGGGGTGGCCATGCTGAGCTTCCAACCATCCGTGAAGAAGACTTTAGCGCACTACACAACCCGGTTTCCTGCTGTCAAAAGCACTTGCTTCTGAGGCCTGTTTGGCTAACCAAGCCCCATATTCATATTGCCATCTCCCGGCCTCCAACCCCTTCCCACTGTGCTCACTCAACCCAAGTACTTCTGAAAGCCTCTGAAAACCTCAACCTTAGAAACAATATGACCTCAACGCAAGGTTGCATTTACCTAAGTCTGCATAACTTTGTTTGGTACAGAACCAGGGTTCTTGGTATTGGGAGGAGTAGCTAGATTACAAAGCTATAATCTTCCATTTATTTTAGCCAATCAAGTAATCTCCCTACCAACCACGGTCACTGAAATAAAAGGTGACAACTGCATTTTCCACACATAGCCTGGTAATTCAAAGGACTTTAAAGGTCTCATTTGTCTTTCTACCGCTTGGCTACAACAAAGCCTTCCCCACTCACCCACTACCTTTACTCCAAAACTGTATCTTAAATGCAAACTCATGATCCTAATCTATATTGAAGTGTTAATGGCCAGCAGTTATTTCTGTGTCAAGAACAATTGTGTGCCATGCTAATTAGTCTAAAACAAAATAGACATTTTCACCCTATGCTTCAAAGAGAGGCATGTAATCAGGCTGCGGCAGTGCATGATGGAAACCCACAGAGAGCTACAACTGCAGCTTAAGCCCTGCCTGGCCCAGGCCCTATTAAGGGACAGGGTGGAGATGCACAGCATGAAAAAGGGATAGCACTCGATCCAATAGCACTGTAGCAGTTTAGCATCAAGAAGCAACCAGTAAGTAATACACTCTCACTACCTGTGTTAACTACTACATGCAGAAAGCGCCAGAATGGAAAAGCTAAAAGCAAAAAACTGTTTTATAAAAGGTCACATAGCAAACTGGGACAGGAGTGGGAACACAGAAATGGGTTTTATCCTTTGGTTATACTAGCCTGGTTTATTTATTGTAGGTGTGTGCTACTCTTCTGAAGAAAGCTCATAATACTTACAAAAAGCTTGCAGTGATCAGGTTCATGCTTACAGCTTCAACAATGCTGTAGCATCAAGTACTCTCAGCAAATTCACAGAGGCCAGTGGAAGTGCTGGTATGAATTGTAAAGAAACAGAGAAGATCCAAAACTGGCAGGTTTCATTTTTAAACCTCTAGAAATGCTGCATGCCTCTCAAAGTTTTTACTTTGCAATCATCCTGACTTATCCATAAAATTTTTGCATGTCATCTTCAGTCCATAACCATGCCATGTTTTTTCCACTGTTTCTTCTTTCACCAGAAAAAAAAATCTATTAAGAGTGATGGATTATAGTAAGAGTCCTCCTTGAGGAGGCACTTCCTGTCATCTACTTCCTAAAGCCCATGGCACATTTTGTACACCTCTAATAGGCGCTATCAGAGGCTGGGAAGCAGTAGGTAAAGGTTCCCTGTATTCTCGAAGGTTCCCCTTGACATTTAGTCCAGTCGTGTCTGACTCTAGGACGCAGTGGTCATCCCTGTCTTCAAGCTGTAGAGCCAGCATTTTGACCGAAGAGTTTCTGTGGTCATGTGGCCAGCGCGACTAGATACAGAATGCCGTTAGCTTCCCACCGAGGTGGTACCTATTTATCTACTTGCATTTTTACATGCTGTTGAATTGCTAGGTTGGCAGGAGCTGGGACAAGCGACGGGAGCTCACTCCGTCGTGTGGATTCGATCCTACGACTGCTGGTCTTCCGACCTTGCAGCACAGAGGCTTCTGCAGTTTAACCCGCAGCACCACCACATCCCTTCAAAGCAATAAGTTTGCTTTTTAGCAGTTCAGAGTACATTTAAATGAAAAATAAATCCTTGCAGAGGTGAAGGTGTATATATGACACAAAAAGTACAAGTAATTAGAAAGTATGGCCACAGTTGCTTATGACTCCGTTTTTGTGACTAGGCTTTTAGGCAGCTACATTAATGCAAATGTTTTGTGCTAATGATATCAGAACATTCTTACTTTATATATCGTAAGCAATTTGAAGTTACCATGCAGACATTCCTTTTTTTATAGTTTTTTTTTTACAAGTATGGATAAAGGTATGAATTAGCTTGCTTCTGTTCTTTGTAGCCAACCCACCAGGACAACCTGCAGTTTCTCTTTTTAGCTGAGGCTGCTCTAATAATCTGCATGACTGGACTTTGCTGCTTTACAAAGAGGATACTGAGAGTTTCTTGCATGTCATTTTTGGGCCAGGACCTTTACAAGAGGAGGCCTGTGGTGGCATTTCTGAAAAAGACTTCAGTCCCCTCATTTGGAAGAGGCTGGACTTGCCAAACCAATAATTTGGTCAACCTCCCCCCCACCTTATTTTTTGGATGCTCCACACAGCAGTCCCCCTGGACAATGACAGACTCGTTAGTGGGCTTTACAGATGGTTAATCTTACTATCCCATAACCATGTCATGGGGGAGGAGACACTCCATGATCTTAGACAGGAGTCTTGAAAGTTGAATTAAGGACACAGATCTACCTTTCTACCTTTGCCACTAAATTTACTATGGGAAAGCAAGAAGAGAGATTTTGGCCATGTTCCAAGGCGAGAAGGGGAGTGTTTTCACCGTATGAATCAGAATCAGCCGCTGTTGCAACTAGCTAAAGAGAAAAGAGAAAAGGAAAAGACCAGCATTGTAGGGGATGCAACACATCCCCACCCCTGCCATGGTGGCCATTGTCAAAGGCACTAGCAGGAGAGCAGGACTACACTGAAGCTTGCGTGCAGTGATGTAACAAGACCCCATGCCCCCCTCTGGCTCTCCCTCTGCTCCTCTAGCATTGACAAAGCAGGAAAGAAATGCCTCCCTCCTGCTGCGCTCCGTGTAGACACTCTGATCGCCAGTAAGTAAGGTGAGGGAGTGCTGAAGTGATCCGGTGCTCCTATCTTAGTGGCTAATGGCAAAAAAAGAGAGAAAGAAACAGGCTTCAGGCTCAGCAGTGGGATGGTGCAGAAGGATTGAGGATGATTGGGCCTTCTTAGATCCATCAGCCTGCTGTAAGGGAGGCACTTTGGGCAGCCCAGTCCAATGGGGTCGTCGCAGCAAAAAGTTCCGCCTCTGCTTTAGCCGCACATGGTGAATGTCAGCCACTGTGGAAGGAAGAGGTCAGAAGCATGAATATGTTTGTGAGGGCCCAGAAGGCAGAGGGAAAACCAGTCTATAACCAATTCCTCACCAAAGTTCAACCAAGAAATGATTTGGTGAAGATGATCACAAGCTGCCACATTTTAGAAAGACAATTGTGGTTTAATTTCAGACTCCAACCAGAGGAGAGAGACACAGTTTTGTTTATTTCCCCCAGGAAAGATTGTACATGGTTTAGAGAACAGATTGGTGGCCATAGTACACACATTCTACTTGCACCTCCAGTAAGCAGGTTTAATGTCACCATATTGTTTATGGAGTTTGTAAACAGCTCTACACCAAAGGCTTTTCAACATTAAATTCAACAAACAATAAAATAATGAAACTGTGATTCAGGTTTATCTATCATGAATAGAGATTGGCACAAACCACTGGTTTAGCAGTTTGGCAGGGTTTGTTTCCTGGTCAAACTACTGATCAGCGGTTCGGTGCCCAGGTCCCTCCAGTGGGTGCCTTTCAACAGCTGTGCCTGATGGAGGCAGGGCAAGCATTGCTGCAGGATGGGCACCTGCTGGACGGAGCGAGGCACCCAACTGCGGATCAGCTCTTTGGTTGGGAAACGAACTGTACCGAACCTGCAGTTCGTGCCCATCTCTAATCATAAAACCAGATATTTACAGATTATACCATGAAATTGTTCTGTTTCATTGGCAATTACCTTATTATTTTATTTACATGCTGCCTTCCTCCCACAACTGGGACTCAAGATGGCTTACACTCTAGCCACCTAGAGTGGTCGAATAAGACCAGATAGGCGGGATAGAAATGAAATAAATAAACAATAAAATAAATAATAAATATAGTTTTAAAAAGAGTAGAATTAAAACACAATAAAATTCTAAATATTAAAAGGGAATTATATTATCAAGATAATTCAAACACTTTAAAATCTCTTAATTAAAATACCCATACTAGTTTATAAGAAGGAAATCAAGCAGATCGCGCAAAATCCTGTGGTCTGAAGCTATTAACTGCTGAACACTTGCCTAAATTAAAAGGTCTTTGCTGGCAGAAGGATAATGGATTGAGGGGGTGGGGAAACCCAATCTCTCTAGGCAAAGCGCTCCAGAGCCTGGGAGTGGCCACAGAAAGTGGCACCTTGAAGGCAGTAATGGCTCTTAATTGCTTATTCAAGGTCAAAACACCCTCAAAACTTTGTATTACAAGAAGGATAGCCTGCAGCAATGTTCTGAATCTGTATATTCTGCCCAAGAAAACAAATTTCTCTTCCAAGTAATATGAAGACTGTGGATAAGCTGAGAAGGAACAGGAAAGCCATAGATGATGTCATGGTTGATACTACTCAAAAGGTCCAGGGGCTTCAACCCTCTGCGCCTCAACTCCAGTGGATCAATACTAATGGAGTGGAAAGCTCTACCAGAGTATTTAGCTGATTCCTGGTAATCGTGGAATAGAGCGATGGCTGGAACAGCACTGGGCTTTTTTAACACTTAGAAATCCAGCTGGGAAGTTTTGGGACTCATGCCAGTCAACCAGTGGCTTCTTTAGTTTGGGCAGGGAGCAAAGACATGGTCACCAGAACCCAGACACTGCTCATGCAATGTGTGAGAATACTGAGAAAGTAACACCATCGGCACAAACTGCAGTCACTCAAGCGTAAGGACAGTGCAGGATTCTGGTCATTCATGTAAAGCAAAAACTCCTTTTGACTTATTTAGGCAAAGAAACCCCACCTGTCTGTAGCCCAGCCTCTCTGAAACCAGTGCCCTCCAGATGATGGAGAACAATTCCAACCTTCCTGAGTTGGCTGGTTCGGATGGCAGTTTTCATGCAAAACACTGTAAGGTACCAAGTTAGAGAAAGACCTAAATGGGACTCACTCCTGAATAGACATGCAAAGGGCTGCACTGTAAGTATCCTTTGTGTATTAAAACCTGCAAAGGGGGTTCTATGTAAGGCCGGTGGGACTGCAATGTCACATGACTCCCCAATTTCCAATATTTATGTGCTGGGCACGGAAATCTGAAGAAAGGAAGCTTATATGTAGAGATCTTCGCCTATAATGGAATCTTCTCAGACAGATCCATGTAATATTCATCTTTTCTACCAGCACTGGGAAGGAGAACTGGGAAACCATGAAGGATCAAGGCCAGTGGTCAGCCCTTTCAAGTTGTAAGTCTCCCCACCACCACCACCAGAGATATACTGTTCATGAAGGGGATTAAGTCTTTTCTCCTTATAAAAGTAAGCCTAAAGAATGTTCAGTTAAACCAAACAAATGCATTGACCCCATTTACTTCTTGCTGATTGGTTCTTCTGTTCGACAAAGTAAAACCAACAGCCTCTTCTGAATTTTAGAATGTAAACTCCTTCGTGGTATAGACTGACATTCACACTAGTTGCTCTGCAAAACAGGCACACACTACATGCATGTCACTTGCAATATGCTTTTGAAAATGTATTTTTCTGCATATATTAGACAGACATCAGTAATGTCATTTGAAAAACAGGAGGAAATGTTTGCAATTATAGACATCCAGCTGTTAGGCCAAATTTAGAATTGATCTGGTGTAGCAATGTGTAATTTCATGAAGCCTATTAAGGCTGCATTTTCCCCCCTGTTATAAGTTTTTATTCATTTTCAATAGGAGTAGAGGTTGGGGTGTGGATACCGGGAAATAAGGTCATATTGTATCCCAGAGATATGAATATGAAGTGCCTGTGTCTAATGATGATGATTTCACCTGACTCTTCCTTTTTAAGACTATTAAAGTTTGCTCATTGAAAAGTAAAAATGCATGGCTTTCCCCTCAAAACTACTTGCTGTTAATGCTCTCACCAATTTAATTTAGATACCTGAAAAAATAAAAATAAAATTAAAAATTCTGATCCACATCTCTTCGAAAACTGTGACACTGACATGAGCTGATCATTTTTCCCAATGAGACTAAGACAATGAATTCTTGACAAAAATATATTCACCTCTACTTACACTACTTCATGGAACCTTTTACTCAGGAGGAAAAAGTATCCTTGGGAAGGCTTTTCAATACAAATACACTGTAGCCCTGCCTTAACCTTCTTACCTCACCAAGGTTCATAGCAGCACTCCCACTGCCTTCAGGATCCATACTTTGGAAGAATCCTGCAAGGAAAAGGAAAAAGAAAAGAGATTCATTTAGCTGTCTAAAGGAACTTTATTCCAGCTTTTCCCATCAAATCTGGTCCCCAGACCAGTTTACAAATTAAAACTTGGGCAATCTAGATATTTGATAGTCTAATATCAGGCAATTTATAAATACTCTGGGGAATATGTCCCACAGACTCATCCAAAAGCATAGCAGTGACATTTCCCTAGTACCCACACTTCACCCCGGCAAGGACTATGTTTCCAAATAAAATTCTACTCTGAACACTTCCTTTGTTGTTGATTTCTTTTCTGTAATGCTTATTTAATAGTGTGCAAATTCAAGCCATTCCAGATTTTCTGTATGCCACTGTGTTGATCAGAAGTGAGCAAAGTGCTGCTTGCAGACTACATGTGGCCCCAACAGAGCCCCAAACACAGCTCTCTCCCCCTCTTTTGTTTCTTTTCCCCCCTAATTCAAAAGTCCATGGTGTTTACCAGAGTGCATGAACAGGATTTTACTATGTTTCTGGCTTTCACTTCTGGTTTTGCGAAGTTTGTCTCTGGGACAAGTAGGGAAGACCTAGAACAGTGAGGTGTCCCCTATAGGGGATGTGGAGGCAATTCAAGTAAAATTTGGATGAGAGCACGGTCTTCCCAATGTGAGCCCATGATTCCTCCTCCCCCACTCCCTCAAGTCTAAATGCAAGATGGATCCCCAAACCAAATACATATTCTATCTCTATTTATAATGCCACTAAATAGCAGATATTAAGAGAGGTTTATGTGACTCATACTCGTAGCAGAAGATGTTTCAAATACTGACTAATCACATGAGGAAGCTTTCTCTCCTCAGAGGAAGGTGACAATTTTAAGATAAAAGTAAAAAAAGAAAAACTAAGGCTAAATCTAATTGTTCCAAAAGAGTAGATTCACTAAATGAATGTATCTTGTTAAATCAACATTATGTAACCCCCACTTACATTAAGTCAACACATAACAATTCAGAGGTCCCCAAATTCCGTGCTGTGGCCCGGTGCCGGTCTGGGGCCTGAGCCAGATCGGGTCACAGAGACAAACCTCCCCCCCCGCACTCCCCTCCTGCATGGCCCGTTTGCACCTGTCCGCGCATGCCTGCACCCACGAGCGCTCCCCCACCCCTTTGCGCATACACATGAGTGACTACTGAGTGCTGTGTTACCTTTTATTTATTTATTTATTTTATTTATATCCCGTCTATCTGGTCGGTTAAGACCACTCTAGGCAGCTAACAGGATAAAATAGTATAAAATTTTTACATACGCATGAGCGACTACTGAGTGCTGTTACCTTTTGCACATGCACGAGTGAACGAACACCTACATGAGCACTGCACCCCCCCTTTGCGCATGCACACGAGTATGTGCGCACCCACACGAGAGCGCACACACTCCTTCGTGCATGCTCACAAGTGCAGGGGAGTGCCTGCCTTCCCTAGCCAGTCCACGAGGCAAAAAATGTTGGGGACCACTGCTTTAATTGATTTAATGGATCCACTCTATTTGGAACAACAGAGTTGAGCTCATGGTACACTTAGTGTATTACCTCAGGTAATAGTCCGTCCTTCCTTGTTTATCTTGAGTAGAAATTTAGTGACCTAATTGGTTCAATTTCACCTGGTTCTCAAACATACCTATTCCTCCACCATTCCTTGTTCAAGAAAGTCACTTTGACTGTTATGTGTCAACTGCACTTACAGTGGGAGGAAATATACACATGTGCACATCAAGCCTGATGTGGGTTCCTCTGTACTGCTGAACTCATTAATCCTTCCCTCCCCCAAGAGGTTGCTGCTTTCTCAGACCCAAGGACAAATGAACTTACTGAACATCATCTCCAATTTGACTAAGCAGCAGACAAAGTTATCGAAATCCACACCTAGAGACTCATCCGCATAGCGGGCCACCACCACTTGGTGTAACTTGTTGTCCAGCTTGAACCCTAGTATAATAGAAATGGACAGAAAGGAATGTTAAGCCTAGGAAAACAGAGGTCAAATAGTGCAGGACTAGAGGCTTCTGACTTAATGAGTTATGGAACAGAAATCAGGTTAGAAACACAAAACCCAACTCAAAAACCAACCTAGTATTCTCAGAAACAGCACAACATAGATGATATGAATGGAGGGACAAAGGATCATTATATGATAACTCATTGATGTTATTTATCTGATGAAACGGGGGCTTCAATCTACTCACAGACTGCCCTCCCTCCAGCCAGGTCTTGGATGGAAATTCAGAAATATGTGACCAAAGTACTTGACTATAGTAAATGACCCAGTCACTTCAGCTCATAAGGGATTCAAGAACCCTAGCAATTTGTAACACCCTTTCCCTCAGCCTCACCAGCTGTCTCCAAAGCCAGCCGCATCTCATACGCGCTCATAGTGCCTGACTTATCCAGGTCATGCTGGCGGAAGATATTCTGTCACAGAAAAAAAGAGATGATGATGATGGAAGATGATGAACTTTCTGTTTTTTCTACTTTTTGCTGCCATCTCTCTGCGCTTTCCTCCCACCAAAGAGTTGTACTGAATATCTTACCAGCCAGGTTCTGATCTTGTTCCACAAAACCTGAAACTCCAAAAGCCCCAGACGAGCGCTGCCATCTTTCTGAAGGGCAAAAGGGTCAAGGAGAAAAACAAAACACAAGAAGGCCAACAATCCCAATGTCTGAGTCAAAACAAAGAACAGAAGTGGAAGAATCTTCAGCTCCTCAGAACGGCTGGAGATTCCAAGCAAGTACTAAAAGTCAGTGGGGCAGGGGTGGCTGGCCTCCAGGTTCTACCAAATTAATCCCACACTCCCATTCCCATTTTCAGACCCACTAGGCTGCTTTGTAAAATAAAACCAAATATTCTGTAGAGTTGTGCTAAAGTAAAGACTGCTTAGACTAATTCTTCAAAAAAAAAAGGGGGGGGGAATGGGGCTACTGGTTTACACCAGAAAGCTGCTATGCCCAGTTAAGTCATGTTAACAAGGCCATTTGCTCTTCATCAGTACCATTACACTTTTTGACAGAAGCACTGTAGTATCTCCAGTTAGAATAACCAAACCACTGGCTTCCATGTTGCATTCCCTTGTACACACTGCACTACTCCCAAATGAGCAAACCCTGACTTCCTTGTGCTGCTACTGTGCCTCACGGAGAACAACAAACCAAAGCAAGAAGCAGGCGGTATGTTTTGTTCAGTGAGCTTCACTGTCAGCTCCAACTTCTTGCACATGTAACTTTTGTGGCGCTCTTAATGCTGGTGACAGCATAATCTGGTCCCCTTGCCTGCAACCTTTCCTCCATGGTCATATGTGACTGTAAAAGCAATATTACAAAAAGGGTTAAGTTAAAGCTCCAGAGACTTCTCTGAAAATTGCAAGGATTGGCAGAAAGAATTAGGAACTCAGTTTCTTCCTTCACTCAAAACACTGGCAGAAATAGCTACAGCTTAAAATATTTTTTTTTCTGAATAGAGCTAAAAACACTGGCAGAAACAGCTACTCAAAACACTGGCAGAAAATATTTTTTTTCTGAATAGGGCTATGGCTGAGCCAAGGACCATGCATGTCTAGTACAAACTGGAACCTATAATATCCCACCTATCTCACCTTTCAACAACTTTGCATCCAGTCTTGGGGGTGGGGAGACTTCCCACTCTATTCTGGATTATAAACTGGCATGCATCAAAAGATCAGTGTGTTGTGAGGCGACGAGCCACCTCGGCCAAGATCAGGAGAGCATACCGCTTGACTCTCAAATAACGACAGAAGCACAAGAGACAGGATAGAAAAGGAATTAAGTAAACTAGAAATAAAAGAAGAAGCTGAAGGGGGCGCAAATCAGGTGGGAAAGGAGGAGAATAAGGAGGGAAAAGGAGGGGGTAGAGGCAGAAGCATATTGGGGAAAAGAGGAGAAAGGAGAGAAAAAGGAAGAGCTAGTAGAGTTGATCGAGGAAGATCCTTGGACAGGAGAGTGGGTGGAATTCAAGGTGCCTCATGAGTACACTGAAAGGGAATGGAGAGACAAATGTATAGAAAGCCACCACACTGGGGGGAGACTGAAGAGTGAAAGCAAAGGAAGGAATATTTGGTGTGGGTGAAGAGGGAAGAACAAAGGCAAAGATGTACAGTGAGTTCAGAGAGGTCCCGTGGGCCCAGCCCCTTCAGACCCCGACAGAGAACGATATATGGCTTGACAAAGGGGGAACAGCAAGGAGTTATGACGTCTCATCCACAAACTTGAATTGGGCTGAGAACACACCCAAGTTGATGGGGGCCAGACCCAAATGGTCCCAAGATGTTAACAGTTATTCCCCCATGAAGAGATAGCCAGTTTTAATAATGTTAAGACTTATGATTGTCAGTTTTAATAATGTTAAGACTTATGATTTGTTGTTGAAGTTGGATGATGATAAAAAAGACTCTAAAAATGATGAAGCCATGTTAAACAATAAATCGGTTTCATTGGAAGAATTGAGTGTGACAAATACTTCTTTAAACAAAGTAAAGAAAAAGGAGATAGATGACAAGTGGCACGATCATATCTGTTTAGGCTACCAGGTTTAAGAATGAGCTAATCTCATCACCCACAATGTGACACTTACTGGAAATTCTCTCTCTCTTTACTAAGAAAAACGTATGCATTTCCCCACCCACAAGCACAGAGGATACATCCATCAGGTTGACCATGTTACGGCAGGAATCCATACTGAATCCATCTGTTTTCAAATCTTTGTCTGGCAAAGGAAGAGATGAAGGGCATTATTTATGAAGCATATTTTAGTGTCCCATTTGGTTGGATGAGATGTCAGAGAAAGGCGCAGAAGCAGGACTCCCAGACACTGCAAGCCAAAGGACTGGGAAAGAAGCACTTACGCCTGGAAATTGCAGAAGCAGGACTCCCAGACACTGCAAAACTGGGAAAGAAGCACTTACGCCTGGAAATGACTCTGTTCAGAATAGTTCTGAGCTCAAAGACACTGATTTCCATGTCCTGGAAGGGAGAGAAGACAATTAGCCAGTTCTGAATTGTTCAGAGATGTCACCCTTTTTCAGAAACAGATCACTTAAAAGACAATAATCCCCATCACCATCTTGGGCAGTTTGTGAATGAATGGTAAGCGATGGCACTGGACAACACTGAGGGAGGCCATACCACCAGGATTAATTTGAATTATATCTGGTTGTGAAATACAAATGATTTTTTTTTCATATATAGCTCTCAGAATTCCACTGCAAGCATGGCTATGCCTACAGTGCCTGAAGAATTCTGGGAACTGTTGTTCAAAAACTTTTATTCTGTGCTACAAAATTCATCGATCTCGAAATCTCAGGCCAGTTTACGATGAATATCTTCACAATGGTGTTGGCAAAAAAGAAAGAAAAAAAAAGACGTCTGGGAGCATGCGCCTTGTTTAAAAGCATTCCTGGAAATCTCTGGGAGAGACATTCTCCACAACCAGTGCACACATCTCTCTACCTACTCACGTCCCCATTAGCAGCTGCTGGTTTTGATTGCTGCCTCCTCACTGTACACAACAACTAAGATGGAGCAGGGGGGAAGTTCACAATATGCTGTATCTCAACACATACCTCTCCTGCCAGCTGCCGGAACATGTTCTTGAAGTTTTCGTCCACATCATCCTCAGAGATTTCTTCCTGAGGAAACCAGGAGAAGACTAAGCTATGGTCTGATTTAGTAGTTACTCTACTAACAACCTTTAAAAAGAACTCTAAGCTTCAACTGAAGCACTTGATTTATTCATTTGTTATACAGTATTTATATTCTGTCTTTTCCTCAGGGGCTCAGCATAGAATACATTTCTTTCTTCCTCCTCTTTTGATGCTCAAAAGAACCCCATGGAACAGGGGTTCATATTTATGGCCGAATGTGAACTAGAACACAAATCTGTCTCCTCCATCATTAAATCCCGTTTGGTCCTCTCCTTACACCATTTTCCCAGCTGCCCCCTCTTTCCTTCCTGAAATTCTGTTTCCTTTGCCATTTTTCATTCCACCCTATTTTAACTTTAAAAAAAAGTTTTTTTTTTTGAAAAGGCAAATTAGACAAGGTGGGCAAAGTGAAGATTGCAGGCTTCACTTTAACATATCACCTCATCACCCAGGTATCAAAAGACATGGTAAAGACAAGGAAATGTGACATTTTACAAATGCCCTTCATGAGCTAGATTCTTACCTCCTCTGGCAGATCTGCTGAGATCTCCTCATCTAGCTCCCTGGAGAAGGAAGAATACTGTTAAGTAGGTAAACTGGTTGAAAAAGGAGGTCCTGTCAGAGGTCAAGGAATTTTGTAAGGAAAGAATATCATTTTGGTTGCTTCCTTCTCAAGAAGAACCTAAGTGACATATTTGAAAGTTTATTGCACGATTCAATGTACAAAACCACAGCACTGGGCAGCAGCGCACAGTCAGGTTTCTTTCTCAAATAGCTTTTGAATTTTTTGCCCACATTTAAAGCTCCAGCCCACCTCCTGGGGGGATTACTGAAACCTGAGAACATTTACAGAGCAGAAACAAAGAAATCTCTGTGGAGCAGGCCTGAGGTTTGCTTGTATTTCTTACAAAGGACTGTAACATCAGAGTATATCCCAAAGATCACAAACTTACTCTGTGTCTGATTGCTTCTCTGTGAAGACACGCAAGACGAAATCCGCTTCCTTGTTTGGCTCAAAGGTGGACGGCACGATGATGTATTCACCAGGGGGCAGGCGGATGTGGTTGCTCACCTCCCGGAGGTTAATGAAAGTCTCTGAGCGTGCCCGGGACTGGTTCCTCAGAAAGAAATCCTTCTTCAGGTGAACATTCTGGCAGCCCTGGGCCTAGGACAGAAGAAGTGGAGGTGTACCATACAGCTGTGCAAATGAGTTGCAACCTACCACCAAGGCATCAAGGAGTGGATCCCAAAGGCCCAAACATGGAGGAGCATGGCAACGCTTGGAAAACAAAATGTCTTCCTTCAACAAGATACAACTACAGGCAAGAGGGCATCCTAACAAAGGGAAAACTTTGGCAACCTTAACCCTTGAAGGAGATTTATACAAAATAAGGCAAGACTTGCACATGTACTTATATGGTTTAGTCTGTTCTGGTTATCAGAATGTGGGTATATTTAGCAGAGAATAAAGATTCCACCCCTACCCACTCCTGCTGTCAGTTAGAATACATACAGCCTTGACTACTTTGGTTAATCCTGACTGCAGCCAAAGTGCTATGTCCACAAGAAGTGACACACATTTACAGAGATTCTGTGACATACAAGGTAAAGGTAAAGGTTCCCCTTGACAATTTTTGTCCAGTCGTGTTTGACTCTAGGGGGTGCTGCTCATCCCCGTTTCCAAGCCATAGAGCCAGCGTTTGTCCGAAGACAATCTTCCGTGGTCACATGGTCAGTGCGACTTAGACACGGAACGCTGTTACCTTCCCACCAAGGTGATCCCTATTAATCTACTCGCATTTGCATGCTTTTGAACCACTAGGTTGGCGGGAGCTGGGACAAGCGACAGGGGCTCACTCCATCGCGTGGATTCAATCAATTCTGACATACAAGAGGAGAAATGATTTTGCAGATTCCTTCCAGAATAGTTAAGGAACACAGTAATCTTTGGTCTCATCTACTCTAGCTGGTTCTGAGATTTCCCTCCCTGCACACAATTCAGTAATGGTCTCTGGTGGATCAGACATACCTCCTCAGGAACCTGCAGAGACAGACACATGGGGGGG